CCCAGACTGACCAGGAAGTAGTTGACAGCTCTCAGTGCCCTGGCCTGCCGCTAATTTCTCCACTTCCTTCCTGCTAGCCTAGCTTAGCATCAATCACCTCTCCCCACTCGCAGCACTAGTGCAAACCAATTTCCTTAATGCTGATTGCACTGTAAACCAACTCTCCTCACCCGCTCTGGCTCTTGTTCCGTTTTACTCATTCATTCTTTCTGTCTTTCCTTCCACAGCTTCCTCTTGATTTGACAAAGCAATGATTCAACTCCTAAAAGCTGCTTAGCCAGAATAGAAGACTAAAAAAGTGCCATAGATTCTGCCTAAGATTTGCAACTATTGCTCAGTGTATGCCAGTGTCATATAATGTTCAGCTATAAGCTTACAGTTTTTCAAATTTAGAAATAGGTTTTAGTTTACCTCCTCCTACTTGACAAATGTGTATCATACACAATCTCTAAATCAGATCCAGAAGATTTTTTTTCTTCAGAATCTATCTGTGTAGAATGCAGACAGCTCAGTGGACAAGTGAGAGGGGATCCCTGCTTCCCGCTGAGGCATGAGAAATTCCCTAAATGTTTCTCAAGTTTTGGAGTCCTCATCAGCTCAAGTGGAGGCCAGCTATTTCTCACCTTCACTGAATCTGTACACCCAGCCCTCATCTGAGGTCAGGAACTGCGCCAGAGCATGTGTGTTTACATGTGCCTGTGTGTGCTCTTGTGTCCTTTCAACTCCAAGGCGAACGGGAACAGACAGGATTTCTCCCGCTATAGCAACAAAAGTGATGACAAGCAAACCACACCGCATTTTAAATGTCTCTTAATTCTTCTTAATTTATTGTGCGAGCATCATGTGGGACATAACCACTAAAATCATGACAGGGGATTTTGTCAGTGCTGCAAGTAGATACAAGTGTATCTTACCGTGAGAAGAGTTAGGCCTGAAAACAGCAGCTATCAGCTCTCACCTCATCAATGTCATTCCAGACAATTATGAGATCCAGCGCCAGAATTCTCCGCCACCACACCCTTTCACTTAGCGCGGGCCCTCCGACAGACTGAGGGGGAATTAACACCACATCAGGCTATAAAACATTTAAATGTGCAAACTAATTATCATCTACATGTCCCTTAAATCCAAGGAAATTTTACGTATAATAACTTTCTTTGGAAAACAGTTTAAAAATGCTCAACAAATGAGGTCACTTGTATGTTTTTAGTTGGTCTTAAAGCAGATTTGCATTGAAATGCCACGAGTTGTACAACTTGGCAAACAATTTGTTGAACACAAATCTTCCTTCAGGCAAGAGAGCCAGTAATCTCATCTGAGATGACAGATGACAAGCTACAAAGTAATTATTATATTACGACACAGGCAGTGTTTAAAGAACATCAAATAAGATGCGCACCGACAACAAAAATCAAACAAAAACAACATGACAATAAAAATCTGTGTGAATGAAGGTTGGAAAATGCAAACGCATATTTCGCCCTAATGTTTGACTAAATTTCCTAAACACTCCTCCATATTCCTCAGACTCTTTGGTTTGTATGCTTTTGCTTCCCCTCTCTGAGTGAGCGCAATTGTGTGTGTGAAGCTGTTGCGATCCAGTGGCAGGCCTTTCCCAGTGGAGAGATTGATGAAGTGCAGTGGCCCGGGGGCCAAGGGAGAAGTAGTCCCCTGCTGGGACTTCTCTCTGGCCCACTGAGCACACCACAGCCACACAGGATACATCACTCAATCTGCTGCTGGCACACATACACACACACACACACACACACACACACACACACACACACACACACACACACACACACACACACACACACACAGGCTCTGCGCTGGACAACATAAGGGCTGGATGGCTAAGAAGAAACCATAGCTGCGTTTACTCTTGTCCTAATGGCTGGTACAGAGCGGTTCATGTTTCAGCCTTGCTCCAGGGCCCACCACTGACATGCTGCTACATTATGTTAGCCTGTGTTTTATTTGGCTCTGTTTGGTATAGTGTAGTGGGATAGGAAGTGAGGGGGGGGGGGGAACAATTGAAGGCCCAGCATGAGGGCCACTCCAACACAAACAGTAGGAGGCTGATGCCTGGTGTGCCTTGCCGCACACAAACTGCTGTGTTACGTGCAGTCCGAGCCCCAGATGGAGCAATTTTTGTCACTGTGTTTGTGTGTTCTGAGTGTGTGGTGGGATTTGCAGAGTAAATGTCAACAGGTTCGGCTTCCAAAATCATCTGGGGTGTATAGTCTCCACTGTATACTGCATGTAATGTATAAGTGTTTAGGGGAGGGGGGGGGGGGCACAAATGCTGCACGGTGTTGGGTGGCATGCACGTCACATCAGGCTGATGGATGGCTCAGATTGCCGTGACCAGGATGCCCTGACTTCCAATGCACCCCTGCTAGCATGAACAGTGCTTACGCAGCCACTGACACTGACTTGTCTGGGACCGCCTGGACTGGCGACACAGTCTGAGAGATTCCCGGAGAAAGCCCCTGGTGCATACACATGCCTGCATGCTGACACACACACAAGCATGAAAAGTGGGGGTTGGGTTGCCCTGACAAATTACCCACATCCCCGACACTCCGGTGTCTCAGCATGGGGGAAACTCGATGGCCCGGTAGGAGGTGGGTGGATAAGTGGAAGGTCAGGGAATTGAGTGGAGAGGGCACCCAAAGCTTTCTCTACATCGGGCAAAGAGGAGGAGGAGGACTTGGGGCTTGGAGGCATACATTTATTTTAAGTCTCTTTATCCAATCTATCACCACAATCTGTGCTCGTTGGTGCGAGGGGCACAGAGACTCAGCACAGAGTATGTGAGAAGTGTATGTGTTTATGTGTGTGTGGGCATGCATGTGTTAGCAGCGAAGGCCGGCGTTCCAGACTGCAGGGAGAGGATTAGGAGTCTGGAATGCAAGACACTCCTTGACCCCAGTGTGACCTTTGAGGCTAAATCCCTTGCCCATATCTGTCCTTCATGGGTCATGATCCAATTGGTAGCCCCTTTAGAATGCTGACCTCTTATGCACCTTGTCACTCAGTCAGCTTGAAACATCTCCATTCACTGACAGTGGGGCCTAGGCCAGCCTGCTAGGATAACAACTGGAGGATTCTAGTTGTGGGCCAGTTCCTCTGGGGTATGAAAATTACATTTCAAGGCTGAAATTCAGAGACATTTTCGTTAATGCAGGCCTACTTAAGGAAAAAAAAATCACTCTTGTTCTGCCTTTCAAGTGTCCATGTACACCTAAAACATAAATGAAGCGTTTCCCTTTTCCCTATTTTGGAGGCCTGTATGGCTTTCCATTTGCGAGCGTGTCGACCAAGAATGACGTTAATGTAGGTGGAGGGGAACGAACACATCAGAATGGCGGGTGAGTGGCAGTGACACTGAGCAGCAGCAAAGAGCTGGGTGGCAGGCAATCAGAGAGGCTCTCGCTCCCTTTCACTTCAGTCCCACATGACATGGCTGACTAGAGAGATGAGAGACAGATGGGCGCCCCGCTCGCTACTGAGGCCCCCTGAATAAAATATCATACTTCTGATTAATTCATATTTCATCTGCATAGAGAAAAGCAGTATTGTTTTTAGATGCCACTCAGATGGCATCTATTCTTGATTCAGGTTCATTCACTGAATTGTCTGATTACACTTTAGATGCTAAATTATTAAATCAGTGATCACTGAAGTAATTATCGTCTGCTACACTAAAGTTATTGAATTACACTCACTCAATTGATACTTTTCATACAGCACCAGGAACCCACTGCACCTGGCCAAGAAAAAGTCTCACTCATACCTCAGTAAAACCACAAATTGTTGTTTTTACACATTTTCCCCCACGTTTTTTTCAACGTGTGCAAATTTTATGCTAAGCTAAGCTAACCAGCTTCTGGCTGTTGCTTCATACTTAACATACAGACAAGAGACAGGTATCAATCCTCTCATCTAATTCTTGGCAGGAAAGTAAATAAGCATATTTCCAAAAACGCCAAACTATTGCATTTATGGCATTCAACTGCCTTAACTCTGCTTTCACCTATCTTTCCATCTCATTCTTTTGCACCAGATTTGTGTTATGTTTTTTAACATCAAAAGTATTTTTACTGTAAAGGTCCAGTTTGTAGTATTTGGGACCATCTATTGGCTGAAATTTAGTATAATAGGCCTATTCATAAATAATCAGAGAATCGTTATATTTTTGTTACCTTTATTATGAACCGTTTATATCTACATACAGAGTGGGTCCTTTTCCCTGGAGTCCACCATGTTGTTTCCACAGAAGCCCAGGATGGACAAACCAAACACTGGCTCTAGATAGGGCCACTTAAGTTTTTGCATCGGCCACTGTATTTCTTCTACGCGCTTGGCACATGGGCAAAGTCTCAAACTTAATCCTACACACTAGACCTTTAACTGCCTTTGTGGCCTGATACTGCAAATTGAATCATGATATACTGCAAGATTTTTTCATATGTCGCTTATTTTTTCTATGGTTAACAAAGACAAGATTTTGTAGAGCCAAAGGCAATACTTCTTCTACTACTTCTACTATCCATACAACATAATGCTTACATCATGGCCACACGCAGATGTTTGTGATGGCTCCACATTAGTTAATTCAAAAGAGGGAAGATGGACAGAATCCACTGCTAATGTTAGGGTTATCTGGAGTTAAATTAACATAAGATTCAATTAGAATGGGTGTAGAGGGAGAGAATAGAGATTTACGAGGGGAGGAGAGAGTGACACGGTCAGTGGTGACATCAGGCACCTGTTATGGATTTGTAGCAGCAAGGGTGGAAGTAAGGGAGTAAAGGAAGGAAAGAGGCAGTAGAAGTTATAGAAGAACAATCAGGAAAGCCAGAATTAGACTTGTTCTTTCACTCTGTGTTGGCTTGACTTTATGAAACTGTGTGAGCATATTTGTGCAAATGAACACACATGATTGCGTTGTGTCCAGTGTAACGCTGGCTCTCTGTGCATCTGTCTCACAGGAGCAAAGAAGCAGCTGTGAGAAGCCCGGAAGGTCCCCCAACTCTGCCCCTCACCTGTGTCACATCTGCCTGCCAGTGCCATCAAGGTGCGTCAATCTTCCACCCTGGCATCTCTTTACCTGTGGCACTACACTGCACCTTCCTGGCTGGCACGCTTTCGACCCTCCCCCATCACTCCCGCCTCTTGTTCCTCAAGGCATCTGTCACTCACCTGTCATTTCTTTCATCAACTCCTGCCTTACTCCTACCTTCTTGCATTGGCCTCGGCAAAGGCGGGAAGGAAACCATCGGAGCGAAAATGGTGACCACTTTGTCCCAGTTCCAGGTTTAGCTGCTGTGGAGGATGACACATTAGGGAGGTGCTGACTGACAGCGGCATTCCTACTAAAGCAGGTTTCTCTCTGGGGACACAGGAGTTTGATGAACGTATGGGTCAAATATTTGACACACTTGAACCCTGCAGCAAAAACTTATAGATTTGTTTGGCATAATTATATCAAGTTTGATACAATGATAAAGATAAAGTTATATAAAGTCAACACTGATGTTCCTTAGACTGTCTTGTATTCAAGTTATAGTTAGTATAGTATAACTCCTGCACCAAGACATATACCAATACCCTCTAGATTATAATGGAACCAGATGGCACTCAGCTTGAGGTGCTGAAAGCGGCAAAAAAATAAAAAATAAAAATAATTTTTAAAAAAATCATCATGACCCTGTTACTCATGATAATCCACAGACCTTGCTGGGAGCAGTTTCATATAGGAACTATTTTGTTTCTACACCCACCAATCGAATCACCACACAGAAGGGAAGCATGTAGGTAAGAGGAAAAATGTGTATTTCTGATTTGGGGTTGAACTGCCCCTTTAAAGGGCCAGTGTGTAATATTTGGCATGGTTTATTGTCAATCTGAATCTGAATCTGAATATTCTACCCATTAATATGTTTATACAAGTGTATGATCGCTATAAAATAAAATTCATTTGGTTTTCGTAGCCTTATAATTATGCTTTTATATATATATATATATATGTAGCAAGGGCCTTGCTTTAGAGAGGTCGCCATCTTGCGCCGCCATGTATGTATGGCAGACCGAGCGGACAATCCAGCCAGCCAGAGAACGCGTTTCGCGTGTATAAATGAATAAATGAACCAACGAAGACAGCGGAAGGAAGGAAGAAGGAGGAGGAAACAGCAGAGAGTGTTAGTAGTTCGTCGATAGAGAGTAGTGAAAAGTTTTTTTTAGTTATAAAGTTTGCGAATGGACCACACTTACCACGCAACAGGAGAGAATGAACCCGAACCGTCATCTGCGAGGAAAAGAAGACGCAGCTTCACTCCTTGTGATGCACTCTCTGCGGCGCTTTTCCTCCTGGTGATATCTCCCCAACAATGGCAGCAGTAGCACCAAATCCCATTCTGTGCATTCAGCTTCTCTTCTCGCCCGCTCAGCATCAAACACATGGAGTTCCTCATCTGTGTGCTCCGGCTCAAACAGGTACGGCTCTGGGTCTGTGTCCGCCACAAGAAACTCTTCAAAATCGCGTTCAAAGTCGTCCATTGCAGCAACTATAGTCCGGAGATATTGCTAGGCTAAATAAACAGCTGAGCACTGTTTACCGGCTACGCTGTCAGTCAGTGTGCGGGCAGGAGATTGGCGGAGCAGAGAGGGGAGGGGGGTCCCCACTTAGTATCGTAAACGAGTATGTGTGTATTGTTATGAAGTGTGTCTGTTACGCCAGAAGAGTCAGAGTTTGGGATGGAGTGGAGTGTTACCGGAGTTTCTGGAGTGCTCAAATAAACGGGCCTTTTCCCGAACGCTCCTCTGGTCTCCTGCTCATGAGGGATTCATTACAATATCGTAACATGGTTTAGATTTCTAAATAAACATTCACCTCGTCGCTAGATAGACCTACTCCTGAAAAACTCGTGCGCAAGGCTTTTTGTCCCTACAAGGCCACCGTCATTTACCCGACGGGAGGGGTGAGCGAGTGAGCCCTGCAATCTAGAATTTGACCACTGATGTCACTGTTTCCAACGGTTTTCAACCCATTTTACACACTGGCCCTTTAAAGATGCTTATAATGATGAAGTCCATGAGGTGTGACTGAAAGCTCAGAAAAGCTAGACCCTGGGTTAAGATTTCTCAAACTGTTTCCTGTTGTTGTATTAAATAAAGATAAGAACAAAAACTGTGGAGTTCCATTTTTCTACAAATTAGATTATGATAACTTACGTTGATTAAGGTCAAACAATAAAAAGAAATAAAAACGAGCCAAAAATGTTCTCTCACAGTAAAAACCCTTTCTGTCCGATGGAAACAGAACCCGGGCCATCAGTGTTGAAGATGATGATGTGTCATTCATCACCCCACCTGTTTCCAGTCATGTCTCTTCCACATAATCCCTTTCACAGTGAGAAAACATATTTCAGTCTCTCCTTCCTGAGCACAAAGGAGGATATCGTTTTCAGTTTCGTAGATTCCCATAATTTCAGGAGACTGAGTGACACACACACAGAAGTATTAACACACATTTATTCCTTTTTGTCAGCAGTAAACACACACCTTAGTTTTCTGAGATTTGTTGCTGGCCCAAGGGTCTCTGTCTTTCCACTCTGGGGAAAATGATCAAAGCAGTCCTGCTCCTCAGGGGTTAAAACGTCAGCAGCAACAAATTTGCCTTCACTAAGCCTGTCACACAAGTAAATTCTAAACTATTGACAACCTTGCTCAAATTCCAGTCCTGCACTGTGCATGGAAAGACCCCACAGGTGAATACGTGATTGATTAGCTTTTCTGATGACTAACGTGTCTTGAGGCAAAGAGAAGGAGGGGATAGTTACTTCCTAACATGATTCTTGCCTCTGGAAAAAGTGTTTTCTTGGACTCTCCTCAGCACGGCAAGTCTCCACCAAGCTGGGGAGAGGCTATTCCAGCTATCAGTGGCTAGACCTTTCGTGAGTACTGTCTGAAATATTGCACAAATAACGATCAAAGCAGCTCCCTGAACTGGCTGGGCCCAGACAGTAAATCCAGCCTGGTGAGGGCCAGACAGTGATTTTGTTTCACATTTCCGCCCAAGACACAGGCACATGCAAGGAAGAGGAGAATAAAATAGATAAAAAAAGAAAAAGAGCCCTTGGCTGTGGCCCAAACTCCGGCCATATCAGTTAGGCTTTGCTGCCACGTGGCATATGGTACAAGACAAACTGTCAGCCTTTTTCCCTCCTGTCTGTGCTTGCTTAGAGATGACAGGAGCAAGAGCACGTTTGTGTCCCGGCAGCAGGCATCAGGCAGGCTTAGCGGTGATTTGGGGGGAAAAGGGGTGAAAGGCAGAGCATCTTGCTGTGGCGAGCGGTGATGCGTCTGCATGGCTGGGCGTGGGGGGCCACACAGTAGCTGCGGGGGACAGCGCAGTGGCTGCGATTGTGAGGAAACTGCAAATTGATCAAATTGTAGAGGCAAGACTTTAGGCCTATTATCTGGGTCATGTCAATGTCTCTCTGGTCTCCAGTTGGTCACAGGGGCAAGTAGAGTGTGTGTATGTTTGTGTGTAAAAGAGTCTAAGCTTTAAGAGCCAAAATTCAATTCTGTAAGTGTGTCTAGTCAAACCTTCATGCACGTGTTGTTTGCACCGTGCCTCTGCAGCAAATAGATCTAACAAACACCAAGCACAACAGTTTTCATTAGCACCAGTGTGATACTTCCCAAGACTTTTGTGGTGAAGGTGAATCTGAGGTCAAGTCCTGCACACCACCAAACTTAGAGCAATTACAGATCCTTATTTATCGAACTTCTTAGAAATTTTTTCAAGTTTTCGTGGCTGGATACAGAAAAAAATCCAGGAGACAAGTGAAGCTGCCGTTTCCATATATGCAATCTGACATCTACGAGTCACATTGTTCCCCTATCAGCAGTGATCACAGAGCCAGCCCTCTATCAGAGTTGACTTCAGCAGAGCATATCGTGGCTATTAGCCTAGCATGGTGCGTGATCTCCGTCTTGTCTTGTTGCTGAGGGTGCTGTCCTGTGTAGTGCGGGGGACACATGCATGAGGGAGGGCGTCGATGTCACTTGTCACCACGCTTCTGTCATAGTCCCCGGAGTTTCGATGGCTCCCTCCGGTCCCTTGTCACTCCTCCTGGCTGGAAACAGCTGGTTACCAGAGCCAGTGCCATGCTAGTTAACATGGAGGGATGTATGGTACATGCTGGTATGTACTCCCAGTGTTCCAGTACTGGGAGCAGCCTATGCATAATACCACTCTATTTAATATCTCCTTTTCATTTTAATATTATTATTTGGTACAATATATGTATATTTTTTTAGCTGTATGTTCAAACCAGCTAATGTCAAACAGGTTTAATGAGAGCAGCTCCTGACTCCAGCGACCACACAGCCCAATTCCTTGTAAATCAGCAGTGCTGATATTAGCTGTTGAAGGCTAAATGGCCATTATGGATCCTCAACACTCTGACACGTTGTGACCTGCCTCCTCTAGTGAGGTATGTGGCGCTGTGTGTGGGAAACACATAGACTCGTATACATGCATAGTCGCTCACTGCTCTGTGTGTGGGCCATGTTTGCCACCACTTACTGACAGGTCAGACTCCCATGGTGTGATCAAACAGCAGCCACAACTCTCTAGAATTCCCACAACACTCCGCCTGGTGGAGAGTGGACAATAAAAACAAGAGTGGTGGGCTTTCATCACAGGCTTTACCAAAGCCTGGCCTATTCTTGCTCACTCATTTGGCCTAACTTCATAAAGGTCAACTCAAAAATGTAAACTGAATGTAGTTGTGTGCAGGGAGTGGCTCCAGACAGCATATACAGTAGACACTGTACTTGTTTTAGGACATCCAAAATAGCATTATTAGTCTCTCACGGGACAGGAAAATTTGGCGCACAACTATATTAAGTATTGTGGGTCAAAGTTGAACTAGAGGGCCAGTCCGTAAACTGTGAGAGAAAAAAAGACGGGTACAATATGCAACAAAGGTCCCTTGAACGATTGATGTTGCAGTTATGTGCCTTGAAACTCAAAAATGCATATGTTTCCTCTTACCTGTAGTGCAACTTGTAAATGTAGATTGTTTTGGTGTGAGTTGCCAAGTGTTGGAGATATCCGCTGCAGAGATGTCTGCCTTCTCTCGAATATAATAGAACTGGATGGCACTCCGCTTGTGGTGCTCAGAATGCCAAAAAATAAATAAATAAATTTGAAAAACTCAACAGCAATGTCTCTTTCCAGAAATCATGATGCGGTTACGCAAGATAATCCACAGACCGTGTCGTAAGCAGTTCATGTAGGAACTATTTTCTTTCTACCATACTACACCACCAAATCACTGCACAGAAGGAACGATGCATCTACTGCTCGCTTATGTCACATCTCAGCAGAGGACACCATCAGCGTTTACATCTCACACTGCACAGGCCTCTTGTCCATGAGTGGATACATGCTTTCTTCTACGCAGTGATACAGTTGGCCGGTGTAGTTCCAGCAGAAGAAAATAGTTCCTACATGAAACTTCTCACAGCAAGGTCAGTGGATTATCTTGAGCAACCAGGTCATGATTTTTGCCGAAACATTGTTGTTGAGTTTTTCAAATGCATTATTTGGTGCTTTGAGCACTACTAGCTGACTTTCATCTGGTTACATTATATTCAATAGAGTACAGACATCTCTATGGCGGTATCTCCAACACTTGGCAGCTCACACTAAAACAATCTAGACTGATAAATAGCACTACAGGTAAGAGTTTAAACATGTATTTTTTATTTTGTGGTGGACGGTCCCTTTAATCAACTCTCCTGCTAGAGTCTCTCTGTGATACCTTCTTAGGAGCCAGG